AAAAAAGAAAACGAAAAAGATCTTCCCGTTTTTCCCACAGAACTGTCTATTAGTATTCTTAGCTTTAGTCATTGACTGTCTTTGCACTGCCGGTATGATTTTCTCTTGGACAGTATTAAAAAAAAAAAAAAAAAGGACGTTCGCACTCTTTAAACAATCTAATACCACTCTGACGTTTATATCCTTTTTTGCTTTAATTCTGCCAAAAACAAAAACGGAAAACTGCTTACCTGCTAATCATCGACTGCCTTCGGCCCGCTCATGGCGATTATGCGCTCCCGTTTTTTGTTATTTTTGTGTGTGTGCGAGAGTGGGTTGGGGGGGAGGAGGGGGGGGGAAGGGGGGAAGGAGTAGTGAAGGAGGGGGAGCAAGGGGAGGAGCGGTAAGTTATTAGTTTTGTTTGTTTTTGTTCTTTTTGACAAGAGGCTGAATATTTCACCGGCTGGACATCCTCATCGTACGATCACAATGCCATCAAACCAGTCAATCCCATTCATCCATCCATCCACCAGTCTTATCAATTGATGACTCAATCAACGAATCAATCAATCAATCAATCAACTAATTAATCGGTCAATGAACCAATCAATCACTCACAGACAATCAATCAAATAGTCAATCAATTAATCACTCACTCACTCAATGAACCAATCAATCAACAAATCAATTAATCAATCAATCAATTCACCAGCTAGGCTACCAGAGTGGCCCGGGGCCATTTGCCCGGCCGGGCGAAAATAAAAATAAAAAATTATATCTATATATACTACATATATCTAGGCTACCAGAGTGGCCCGGGTCCACTTGCCCGGCGGGGCCAAAAAGGAATTAAAAAATAAACATTTTGTTTAATTAAATTTTTTATTTTAAATTTGGTACAGAATTTCGATGTGACCCTGAGGCAAAAGTTCTTCAATTTATTTTTCTGCATAACATAGTTTTTTTTCGGATTTTTTCGATTTTGTTTTTTGTTTTTGTTTTGGCCGGGACCTTCCCTAGTCCTTGCACGGCCGGGCCGCCCGGGAAAATAGGGTGGCCTTGGCGGCCCGGCTGGCAGCCTATATATATATATTAACTTTATTTTTTATTTTAAATATGGTAAAGAATTTCGATGTGACCCTGGGGCAAAAGTTGTTCAGTTGATTTTTTGGGTTTTTTTTTTGTGGGGGGGGGGGGTTTGCTAGGACCTTTCCTGGTCCTTGCACGGCCGGACCGTCCAGGAAAATAGGGTGACCAGGGCCGCCCGGCTGGTAGCCTAGTTCAGCAGTCAATTATTCACTCACTCGATGAATCATTCAATCAATAGATCAATAGATCACTTAATCAATCAATCAATTCACCAATCAATTAATCACTCACTCACTCACTTACTCACTCTACCAATCAATCTATCAATCCATCAATCGATCAATCCATCAATCTATCAATCCATCAATCCATCAATTATCAATCAATCAATCAATCAACCAATCAATCAATCAATCAATCAATCAAGCATTCACTAAAGCCTCATGTGGGTAGTGGACAATCTGAAGGTATCAGCCTCCGGCTTGTAGATACATCTCAAAACCAAAAACTTTTTTTTCTCTTATTTATGATATTAATTTTAAGTTCGTTCTTATTTTGTCTTGGAATTTTTGGATTGATTACAAGTCAAAATATGGTTAAAAAGAAAAAGGGGTTATCGATGAACTTCCCAAATATAGATGCCCGTTAGAAGATGTCGCCAATATAGATGTTATGCCCTATTCGTTTTTCCAAAAGTTGATTTTATTTTTTTAATTTTTTGTTTTGTAAAACCGTTTTTTGGCCCTTCAAGTAGAACTTATTCACCACACACCTAGGCCACCAGGCGGGCCACCCGGGTCACCCTATTTTTTTCCCCATTACCACACACACTCTGCAGGGTACAGAACTCTAGTCCACAGTGTACTAAAAATAATTAAATCATGCGTTTCGTACGACATAGAAATAATGCAAACAATGAAGAGAAAAAAAAGGTGAAAAAAAAGAAAAAAGAAAAAGAAAGAAAAGTATGGTTTGTAGTCAATAGTTACAGAATCTGGGCCCCCAGAGGCCGACCTGCTCCTTTTTTTTTTCTTTTTTTCTATTTTGTCTGTGTGTGTGTGTGTGTGTGTGTGTTTGTGTGTGTGTGTGTGTGTATTTGTTATTGACACGGGCCTTAAAACTTTCTAAGATGCCTTTTTTTTTTTTTTTTTTTTTAGATTTTGCGGTGATGTCACGCATTATTGTAAGACTTAACGGTTTTCTTCCTATCATTAGGCAAAAAGCCTCGCCAATCCGGACAATAACATATGACATCAACGTAAAATGCCGTTTTTTTTTTTTTTTTTAAATGCCGCATTCTTTGCGTCGCTGTCGCACGTTACTCGGAAAAAACAACATTAAGCTATCGAGGGGCCGCGGGGGAGAGGGAGGGGGAGAAGGGGGGGTGAGCGATTTTGGGGAGGGGGGGGAAGAGGGGGAGAAGGGGGCGTGAGCGACTTTTTTTGGGGGGGGAAGGCATTGAGGGAAAAAGGGGAGGGGGGATGGGAGGCGCATTAAATATTTTCATCGTTTGGAAGGTATTAATATTTTTGAAGCTGTTTTTCCCTCCTCCTTTTTGTTATTATGTAGTTCTTTGTTTTGTTGTTTTATCTTTAGATATTTTAGCTCTTTTTTATTTTTCAGTAGAAGGTCAGTACTCTTAAGGTTACATTTGCGTTATACCCCTAAAAAATGAGATATATGCCAAAATGCCCCAAAAGAAAATGTGGGTCGAGCCGTATGCCCTTTTGGCTTGAATTCTTTGCAAAATGTCCCTGTCAGGCCCGGGCACAAATTTCTCCAGTGGGGCCTGGGCCTGCACCCTGTTTCACCTGGTTTGCCCTGCCCTATGCTGGGGGCGGTGGACACCGCCCAACTTCGCAGAATACACCAGGCCCTAGGCACGGCAATCTGGGACTCGGAATTCAAACTTTCAGCTTTTTGGCTTGAATTCTTTGCAATATGCCCCTGTCAGGCTGGGTCACAAATTTGCAATCCACACCTCTCCATTGGGGCCTGGGCCTGCACCCTGTTTTGCCTCGTTTGCCCTGCCCTGCCCTGTGGGCGGTGGAAACCGCCCAACTTCGCGGAATACGAAGGCCCTAGGCACGGCAATCTGCAGCTCTGAATTCAAACTTTCACGCTGGGTTAGCAAGCTCCCTCCTGGGAAGTTCCTCCATCTCGGGCCTTGACCTCCTCCAAGGTCTCCTCCCTGTGTGTGTGTGTGAGAGAGAGAGAGAGAGACAGAGAGAGAGAGAGAGAAAATATGAGCTCCGTGCCAAGGTCTCACCCCTCTGTGTGTGTGTGTGTGTGTGTGTGTGTGTGTGTGTGTGTGTGTGTGTGTGTGTGTGTG